CATCTGGGTTCTTCCTGTCCCCCTACCCAGCAGCCGCTTCTCTCTTCCACCAGCCTGGCTTCTTCCTGTCCCCCTACCCAGCATCCCCTTCTCCCATCGCTCACCTGGCTGTCTTCCTGTCCCCCTACCCAGCAGACCCTTCTCCCTGGCTTTGCTGCAGTGTTATTAGCAGCTCTGCCTCAGAAACAGCCGGAATGCAGATTCGCAGATGAATTCTTGCATGTTGCCAAGGCGCCGGCAGGCTGTACAAGTGCAGCGCCCCTGTGGTCACAGCCTGGGCCTGGGCCGCCCGGCGGCGCTCGTGGGCACGGGGCTCGCTGAGCTGCGTCCGCGCGTCTTGTCTGTCTGTGCGTCCGCAGAGCTGCGCCTGAAGCTGGAGTACCTCAACTCCGTGGAGCGCGAGTACGGCGTGCGCCCCAAGGCGCTGACGGGCTCCCCGCGCGGCGACCTGAAGGAGGTCAACGACTGGGTGAAGCAGCAGACGGGCGGCAAGGTGAACAGCTTCCTGACCTCCAGTCTCCCCCGCAACATGGGCGTGCTGCCGCTGGGCGCTGCGTACTTCAAAGGTAGGCAGGGGGCGCTGTGGCGCCAGCTGAGTCACTCCGCGGCCCAGGGGGCCCTGTCCACTCCAGTCCTCACGGCGCTGACCAGCTGATGCAGATGTTATAAAACAACCTCTAGTATAAGGGACACTGTAGGGACACAGAATACACTGCAGGGAATTCTCTCTCCTGACTTTTCTGGCTCAATGGCTCAATGTGAGCATTGGTGGTTCAGTGGTAGAATTCTTGCCTGCCAATGCAACATTAGATTCCTGGCTAATGCAACAAAGTTTTGGGTGGAGTGGTGGCACTATGGCTAAGGATCTGTGCCTGTGGCTGGAAGGCTGGCAGAGGAAGGCTGGCAGAGGAATCCTACCCTGTTGGGCCCCTGAGCAAGGCCCTTCACCCCAACTGCTCCAGGGGTGCTGTATAAATGGCTGACCCTGTGCTCTGACCCCCAGCTTCTCTCCCTGTCTGTGTGTCTCATGGAGAGCAAGCTGGGGTCTGCGAAAAGACAAATTCTTAATGCAAGAAATTGTATATGGCCAATAAAGTGATCTTATCAATTATAACCTTTAAGGTTTTGCAAGGACCTTAAGAGACTGGCCCAGGACTCTGATTTCTTTCAAGACAGGATCAATGAACTAGTGGCTTCCGTACCTGCAGGGCCGAGACGGGCTGAATGGTTCCTCTCCTTCGGAACCGTCCTTATGTCAGTCTTGAAACGGTCCCCCCCGCAGGTCAGTGGGTAACGAGGTTTGGCCAGAGCAACCAGATGGAGTCGTTCCAGGTGGAGGGGTCGGCGCCAGCCCGCGTGCCCATGATGAAAGAGGACAGGTACCCCGTGAAGCTGGGCATCGACTCGGACCTTCGCTGCAAGGTACACACAGGCAGGCCTCTCCCGCCAAGCCCCAAGCACAATTAACTGTTGGAGAAATATTTTCCCGCTTCCCCTTAAAAGAGTCAGTCAGGAGTCCATCTCGAAACTTAAAAGATTTTATTTTATGCGCATAGGAGTGAAACACACAGAGAATCGATACCGTTATACAGGAACGCAGGCGATGAAGCTCAGAAACCAATCGTGTTAAAAGAAGTGCTCTTAAGCAAATGGGGCAGAAGAAAATGAGCACGATCTTGGAATGCTGACAATCTGATCAGAACAGGGAAGCATGATAGATAACAGACAACTAAGGACTGCTCCAGTTTAATCACTTTGAGAAAAATACACCAAGCATCTCTGTGTGTTTTGCTCCCATGCGCATTAAATAAAGACTTCTTTTCACTCCTGAAGCAGACCCCTGACTCTTTTAAGGGGAAGTGGGGAAAAACGTCTCCAACAGAACACCGCACACGTGCACCTCTTGGTTTATGAATTCATTTGCACAAAAGAGCTGAGGTCCTCCAAGTTGTGCCCATGAGCAAATTCATGCTGTTGGCATTGTGCCCTCTGTGGGTGTTGGTAATGCCTCCAGAGAGGGTTAAGTATTCTGCTCTGGGGGATATCTAATTTGGATCAAACAGACGATCTATCATGGTTTTGTTTGTAAGCACATAACAGGGGTGGTGTAGTGTACTGGGTGGGTCATTGGGCTCATGACTGGAGGGTTGTGGGTTTGAGCCCCTGCTGCAGACACTGCTGTTGCACCTTGAAATACCAGATCTACTTGTTTCTCAAATAGCTGTACATCAGGAGGCACTGGCTGGAAAGTTCCAAGGGGATGGTTTTTCAGAATCAAGGGGGCAGCTGTACGAACAGGAAAGTTTGGTAAATGAAGCGGTGCTGATCTGGCGTCATGTTTGCTGGTAGTGTTTGTGTGATCCTCCAAGCTCTTTACTGATGCCACTGCTTCATCACAGACTTTATCCTCAGCAGACAAGATCCTATTGCTTTCTGCTGTACAGCAACCTAAGCACAACTGCAATTTGTGTACAGATGATGCAATCAACTGAGACTCATTTCCTCCATCTGCTCCATCTAACAGCTGACAACCAGGACTTAGAAAGCGCTTTTTCTGAGCAGTGTGTACACAACAGATATAACCAGGCCTGGAGACATATTTGACAGCTGCTTCACGGATATTTCTCAGCTTGAATCAGATTTCACAGCTCTGGATGGCCCACAAAGTGAGAGGGGAAAACTGTTATCGGTCAGGAAGTGTCGTGCTCTGACAAGGGAGCTGTGCAGTTGGGAGCTGGTGCAGTTTCAGAGCCACCTTTCACCACCAGTTTGAATCCAGTGACAAGACTGCAGGCACCGCGAAATACTCATGTTCAGCTGCTTTGAGGCTAAACTCATAGGATGAATTTGTCCAGAGCGTCCACATGTCCAGAGTACTACGAGGTCTACCGCTGTAGAACAAATGATCTTTAAGTAGGGAGCTGCGTCAGCATGCGTAGGCTGCAAAGAAACAAGTAAAAATTTATTCCATGCTGCAAGGAAAATAAAAAAGACAACTTTTCAGCTCTGGAGTCTGACACCTGAGAAGGCTCCACAGCCGAAATGTTGTCTCTTTTCTTTTCCTTGCAGCATAGAATAAATCTTTTCCTGTTCCTATGCACAATGCCTTTAGCCAGCAGCCATATCACCCTGCAACTCCCAGCTGGCAGCCCACTGAAGCTCAGCAGGTGTGAGCCTGGTCAGTACCTGGATGGGAGACCTCCTGGGAAAGCTAAGGTTGCTGCTGGAAGAGGTGTTAGTGGGACCAGCAGGGGGCGCTCACCCTGTGGTCTGTGTGGGTCCTAATGCCCCAGTATAGTGATGGGGACACTATACTGTAAACAGGCGCTGTCCTTCTGATGAGACGTAAAACCGAGGTCCTGACTCTCTGTGGTCATTAAAAATCCCAGGGCGTTTCTCAAAAAGAGTAGGGGTGTAACCCCAGAGTCCTGGCCAAAATTTCCCATTGGCCCTTATCAATTATGGCCTCCTAATAATCCCTCTCTATGAATTGGCTTCATTACTCTGCTCTCCTCCCCACTACTAGCTGATGTGTGGTGAGCGTACTGGCGCACTATGGCTGCCGTCGCATCATCCAGGTGGGGCTGCACACTTGTGGGGGTGGAGGGGATCCCCAATACCTGTAAAGCGCTTTAAGTGGGGTGTCTGGAAAAGTGCTATATAAGTGTAAGCAATAATAATTATTATGATAAATTGAACCCCTGTGTTGGTGTAGCGCTGGCCTGGAACAGGGCTCGACTGGTACTGAGCTCTCCTGGTGAGATGTCCCCTCTCTCTCCCCAGATCGCACAGGTGCAGATGCAGGGCGATGTCAGCATGCTGATCTTCCTGCCCGACGACGTCACCCAGAACATGACGCTGATTGAGGAGAGCCTGAGTGCCGAGTTCGTGCAGGACACCGTGTCCGCCCTGCAGCCCGTGGAGCTGTCCCTGGCCCTGCCCGCCCTGCGCTTCAGCTACTCCGCCGACCTGCTGCCCCTGCTCTCTGACATGGGTGCGTCCGTCCGCGGGCACGGGGGACCTGCGCTCTCCCAGGGCAATAATGGGGCCCCTGCCCCTCGGCGGAGGGCTCTGGGATGCTTTGTGATGAAAATTGCTTCATAAAAGCAATTATCACTATGCACCAATCCTGAGTTATCAGCAGTGCAACATCTAGGCACTAAGCAGATCTGAACTGACAACAGTCCAGCGTACAAGCACGCCACCTGCAGGTCGTTCTTGAGCGCATCAGTTTTGTGAAGAGGAAGACCTGTGGCACCTATCTCAGTTTCAGAAAAAAAAAAAACAGTGAGGGGTGGGTCAATAACAATCATCATCATAATTTTCCTCAACACCACTTTGTGCTTCAGCCCTGCTCCAGAGTATTTTTCACTCCCCATTTCCTGCAAATCGTGTCCGGTCTCTGCACTGCTCCCTCTCGGCTCTGTGCGTGTGCGCACGCGCGCACACAGGTTATGAAATCAGAGCACATAAGAAATTGAACTGCGCACAAAAAATTAAATAATAAAAAGATCATAAAGTAAACACGGTCCTCAATTGAAAAATGCTAGATTGACCACATGAGACTGGCTGTTAGAGGCCCAACTGGGCTGTGTGCATTATTACCACTACTAGATCATCGATACCTGTGCTCTCGTGGTCTCGTACCTTCCTGCTCATGCTGGCTCCACACTCAGTCTCTATGACTGGGCTCGTGGGATCGCTGTCCCGGTCTGTTGGATCTCCATGCTGCTATGAGGATTACCATATTAACCAAAAATAATTTCAGGTGTACATGCACTTTGTCACTGCGGAAAACAAAATGCACAACTTGAAAGTTTTGTGCACACACAGGCCATTGAGAAGTAGAGGGAACCCTGGTTCTCTGCTGACCCACGCCTCTCCTCCGCAGGCCTGAAGGAGTGGCTGGCCAAGACGGACCTGGTGAAGATCACCTCCCAGCCCGCGAAGGTGGGCAGCGTGCGCCACAAGCTGGGGGTCGAGATGACGCCCGAGGGGGGTCAGTCCGTGGCCCGAGCCCCCCACCCCGAGGGCCAGGCGCTGGGGCTGTCCTTCCAGGTCAACCGCCCCTTCCTGTTCCTGGTGCGGGACGAGCCCTCGGGCGCCCTGCTTTTCATCGGGAAGGTGCTGGACCCCCAGAAACTGGGGCGGATCTGAGCGGCGCGGGATTCAGAGCGTCACCCGCAACATGCTACTCCCAGCGCAGTCAGAACGCAACACGCAGCACACCAGACATGGACGTCACGCAAAAAACAACCACGCGCAACATAGAAACTACAGCACACGGCATGCCTCAGCAGGAAACACGCAACACGCAGCACACAATCCACGTCAAATACAGCTTTTTACACTACACACATTGCGAACTTGCAAAAATGTATAGAAACAAGTGAAACTCCCTAAAAGAACACGCATTTCAGATAAAACTCCTCAGCTCTCCACACGGGCTCAGAACCTCACGTTCTGCAAACCCCAGGAACACACCAGAGAACACTCCAACAGAACCGGCCCCAGGAGAGTACTGCATCCTCCACCTCCGGCAGTGACCACCAGGGGGCGCCTTCCAAAAGAACACTAAGGGGGTGTTGCTGAACCAGCTTGGCTCCATTCACAAAGCAAAGCCCTGGTGTTTGTTTGAGGTTCTCCAGAAGAATGTCTTTTAATGTATTCTTCGACACAGTAATAAATATAGAAATATCAAACCCTCACGGATGACTCCCGTTGCATAATTAAGTGACATCACATGCAATTACTGGGGTGCCATGTTTATTAGCTACATGGACAGTGCAGAGGGAAACAAGTCTGTGTCGCATCCAGCCACTCAGACTGATCGGATTCTACCTTGGTTGCAGAAGAGCGGTTGGCAGTATGATCTCATACTCACACTTTTATCAGGATTGAGACCAAACACAGTAGAGGTCGAGGCAGGGAGCCT